CCATCTTTTCTTCAGTGTTCATCTATGGTCTCTTAGTCAAAAATCTGTAGGTAGCTATATGTATGTGGGCTTATATCTCTGTCATCATCTATAAATCAATCAGTGTGTCTGTTCTTATACTATAACTATTAAGATGATAAAGTCTTAGATGCATTTAATACTGAAGGTGATAAACACATTGGTTCAAATTTTTTACCTCAAACATGTACTAACTTGTAGCACAATCCTAATTGGCCTTACTAATAAAAATCCAGAGTCAGATATAGAGGTTAATGCTGAAAGATCACAGAAGCAGAGCAGCCAGCCACTAAAGAAACCTTTTATCTCTACAAAGGCTGAATCCTCAGATCAAACAGGTGATCCTGTCTCTACAAATCCTTAGGCTGAATGCATCCTGTCTGTATGAAACCTCAGACTGAATCACCAAACTCCTGTCTCCTGATGCCTTATATTCCTCTCTCCACCCAATCATATCACTCCTGTCTCCACCTCCCTAGTTCAGGAATTAAAGGCATGTGGTCCCAAGTGCTGAGATCAAAGATGTGAGCCGTGTTTCTTTCTTAGACTGACTCCATCTCATGTAGCCCAGAAGGGCCTTGAATTCACAGAAATCTCTCTGCCTCTGTCTCCCAAATGCTGAGATAAAAGGTGTGTGCCACCACTACCTGGCCTCTATGGCTAACTAGTTTGACTAGCTCCACATTCTGATCTTCAGGCAAGCTTTATTTGTTACAGCACAAACGGAATATCACCACATTTCCCCCTTTTTTTCCCAAATAAAAAATAAGGCTATACCTAATGTAAGAAAAACTACAATAAGTACAATAGCTATATATAATGCATGCAGGCAATAATTACATTAACAATGTCTCGTCCATTAGTATTTGACAAATTCCAAGAAAATATTCCATTATCTGTCCTATCTCTGTGAATCCAAAGTGGTGTGCTTAATTCACATCTTAACCTTGCATTTCCACATTTCTATATTCTCCCCTTTTCTTTTTACAAGGAGATCCTTGAATCTCATCTTCTTTATTCAGCTTTTTTATTGACCTTTACCAATAACAACTTGTGGCCAACTCCCTTTTAGTTATAATAAATATCCACAGCCCATCTTTAAGAAATGTGGGCATAGTTGTCTAGGCTACTTCATAATGACCAGGGGCACTGGCAATTTTTGCAAGACCCTGACAAAATTCAGGATTGTAGTCAAGTCCTGCCTGGAGAATTCTGTGAGGCTGGGTCATCTCAGCCACCAGCCTTGAAGCTATTCTGGATGTAGAACTCAGAGGAAACTGCAACAGTGGCGCTCTGAAACATTGGGTCATCTGGGCCATCTGCTCCCACTGAAGATTTTTCAGGGGGCTTCCTCAATCAAACCCAACTTTTCTTAACCCAGAATGAGTCTACGGCCTCTCATTTACTATGGAAGCCAAAGCACAACCTCTTCTCCAAAGTAACATTCCTTTTGACTTAAATTTTGAAGTCAATGCATTTTCAAAACATATATGTTGGATTAATACAATATTTATAATCAAATGTCTCTTAGCAGCTGTTGTTCCTTCCTTGGCTGTCAAACAATTCTCTGTGTATTTACCAACTTTGCATGGCTTTTTTAAATATAATACTTTACTCACTTTTTAAGAACTTCTTTTTTATGACTACCTATATCTTCTCTTTATGTATATTTTTAAACTATTTAGAGGTTTGTTTGTTTTGTCTGAATCTGTACTTACTGAACATCTTTATCTTTAAACTGCTAAGTGAGTGGCACAGCTGGGAACTCCACCTCTGTCTGATGACTACTCTGCCCTGCCTGGTTCCCTAAGGGCCCAGCTTCATGTCAGAGGCATTGGTGAAAGCCATGTTTATCGTCCAAATCTGAGGAGCTTCTGGGCCCACACTGTCATTGGGCAGCACACCATCTGCTGCTCATAAACCCCAATTGAGAGTTTTGTAGCAGGGTCTCTTAAAAGAGCCTTGTAGTTTTTGCAGTTAGCACTGACTGAGTCAGAAAGCTGTCTCTTAAAGAAGCCACACCTCTGCTTGTTGTGAGCAAGTAAAGGCTACCCAATAAAACAGCTGTTTCCAAGAAGCTGAGTTTTAACTCCATTTTTTCTGCGTTTACAATCCTTTTCAAAGCCTTTTCAGGCTCTATGGAGAAATTCTTGCTGAATGTTTGAACACCATATGTAGTGCAATCCTAATTAGACTTACTAATACAAAACCTGGACTCAGATATAGGGGCTAATGTCAAAAGATCAGAGAATCAGAGAAGCAGAGCAGTCAGCCACTAGAGAGACTTTTACCTACTGATCAAAAGAGTGATCCTATCACTACGAATCCTCATACGGAATGCTTCCTGTCTCTACGAAACCTCAGACTGAATCGCCCTTTGGGGGGCTATGTAGGGTATTTAGGAAAGCCCTCCTAGAGGTCTGGAGAGGAAGCACCACAGGTGACCATTTGAAGATCTGTCCCCAGGGTTATCCCTGCTGTTCTCAAGAGATGGAAGGGAAGAACAGCCTGCAAAGTAAAAATTATTTCAGAAGTGCGGTCAGAGAACATTACAATCATTTACAAGCCAGCTTTGCATCTCATTACAAGAAGTTTGATGAATTCTTCAAAGAACTACTTGAAAATTCAGAGACTTCCCTGAATGATATGTTTGTAAAGACATATGGCCACTTACACATGCAAAATTCAGAGCTAAATTACTTCTGTGCCCACCTTCTGGAGCCCATGCTCCATCCAGTGAACTCCCAGTACCATTTTACAGATGAGTACCTGGAATATCTGAGCAAATATACAGAGCAGCTGAAGCCCTTTGGAGATTGAATTGAGTCTGCAGGTTACATGTGCAATTATTGCAGTCTGAAATTTTTCTCAAGGCTTAGCAGTTTCAAGGGATGGAGTGAGCAAAATTTCTGTGGTGAACTCCTCAGCCCAGTGCACACAAGCACTGCTGAAGATAATCTACTACTCCTACTGCAGGGACCTGGTGACTGGGAAGCCCTGTTACAACTTCTCCTCAACCATCATGAGAGGTTGTTTGTCCAACCATGGATACCCTGAGTTTGCGTGGAGCAATTTCATAGATGTCATGCTGATGGTGGCAGAGAGGCTGGAGGGCCCTTTCAACACTGAGCCAGTTATGGATCCATTCAATGTGAAGATTTCTGATGCTATCATGAACATGCAGGATAATAGTGTGCAAGTGTTTCAGAAGGCCCCCAGAGCTTCTCCCAGCTGGGTGAATTTCTCATTCCATCTCTGAAAGTGTCTTCAGTGTTCAATTCATACCTGGTCATTCAGAGCAACGTCCAACCACACCAGCTTCTGCTGGAGCTGTGGTCTGCAGAAATGTTGAGTGATATCCTTCTTCATTGACAATGATAAGTGAGTACCTCCAAGGAACAGCTCAAAATTCAAACAACATTCCAGATTCTTGGTTTCTATATTTCTTAAATTATTTTTCATTTTGAGATATTTTGAAAATTGTCTAAGGCATTTGGAATTTTCTTTAGTATTCTGTAAATGACATATAGTGATAATCATAGCTGTAGTAAAGGTTCAAATGAAGAAAGTGTGTTCTTATTTCATCATACCTTTGTTACATCTGTTTGCCTACTCTAACGTCAAGCTTACTTGAAACAAGTCTTCATTTCAGGAAAAGGTTCTATAGACACCGTTGGATTAAGGAGCATGATGACTTATGACATGCTGAAGCGCTTTGGCTACCATATTTCTTTAGGTCATGATATTTTCTCAGTTATTCCAACTTTAGATAGATAGATAGATAGATATTATCATGTGTTGCATATAAATGTTGTGTCTGACTGACAGAGTAAAAAAACAGAAAAAAATATAAAATATTAGTCATTAGTTCATGATGGCTAACATATTGGATATAACCCAGGATTTTCTCCCTGAGTGGCTGTACCAACTATTTCTCACTTGAAGATTTCCTTCCTGCCTACTAACCCTTGCCTAGAGTAGATTCTAGGAATGAGACTTCCTAGTACTGTTGGGCATGACACTGTTTGGCCACCACATACATTGAACAGTATGCTCAACAAATAGGACAATTGTGAATTGAAGTTCCTAGACAAAAAGCCACACATATATTAAGGATTCTGCAAGGAACTGGAAACCTGTATGATGTAGAGAGCTATTCCGCTGAAGGATGCCACTGCCCACAGTTTCCCCTCTACTGCAGGCAAAGCACCTGCTGCCCAGTTCTCTAGGACTTGCAAGCTGATCCAGATATAGTAAAGCAATTCTGTAATTGCATCATTTGCCAGGGTGATATGGGAGAATCACAGAACAAGGATAGCCTGGGGACAAAGTAATTTCTGGTCTAACCAATTCTACCAAGTGAGTCCTAGTCTCAAAAACCAGACAACAAAAATAACTAAAAAGAAGAGCTGTGGTATAGCTATAGTTCAGTGGTAGAATACTTAACTACAAGGCCCTGGCTAACATGTGAAATTCCTAACAAAAAGAGAAAGGAGGAGGAAGTAGAAGAGAAGGGGACTTGAAGACTTGAGCTGACCACTTTTGCAGAGTTCTTCAAAGCCCATCTGGGTGCTGAGGAGCCCATCTGCCTTAGGGTTGCAAAGCCTCGTGTAAAAATGTCCAGAGACAAAGACTTGGGCTATCTCAAACCTCCTGGCACTCTCTAAGGGAAGACATTGGTCTCTCTTTATTCCATGATAGCCTTAGTCTCCATTCTTTCTTCCATACAGATGTTTGTCCATTTCAAAGGAATCAGAATCCCTGATCCACTGGTATCACTTCCCCCAAGTTGCAAGACTCCAATGCTTACCTCTCAGTTTGCACTTCCTTCTGGCTTCCAGGCAATCACTTCATAGTCTGATGGCTACTCAGAGAAGCCCAGATCTTACTTTCATTTTCCATTAGACAATACCCTCCCTGCCAGGCTCCTACTCCATATAAAAGGCAGATGGAGCCCCAGTTTAGAAGAGTTGGACTAACCTAGAAGACTCTAGCCTTCACTTCATAGTCTCTGCACTCAAAATGAAGATCTCCGCAATGCTTCTGTGTCTATTGTTCATAGCTGTCACTGTCAGCCCAGCAGAGCTGGTTGAGTCAGGTAAGCCATCTTTCCTTCCTTAGGTAATGGTTTGATGGGCACTAACATCTGAGCACAAGGCATCCCAGAGCTGCTACATGGGCTGCAGTTTTAAGATGGAGTGACAAAGACTATGGGAGAAGACATAAAGAGTCATTGTGTCACAGCTAGTCAGAGAGCCACAGCCAAGTGCTTAGGCCACTGAGGCCAGGCCGTGTGATGTCTCTTGACACCAACCCTGGGACAAGATGCCATGTGCAGCCACTACAGATATGTCCAAGTCTTGTTGGGAGAAGTGGCCTGTAGATGAGAAGGACATCTCTTATATTTTTGGTTATGAGCCTAGCCTTTAATGGCTGAGCCATCTCTTTAGCCCAAAAAGGCCATCTCAAGCAATAGAAAAATGACATGAATCAAAGCTAGAAGAAGCACTTCGGAGTCATGGTCCAGAGTACCTTCTAGAACCACAGTTACATGTGGACCCTGGAGATGCTTATTATCCTAAAAGCAGGTTGATTTGATGTCCACAGCAGCAAAGTGATAGACATCAAGTTCATAGAGCTTACTTTCCTGTGTCAGAAATATGGGATCAGTCAATGAGATTTCATTAGAAACAGACATTAGTGAGGAACACAGTAGTTGAACAGAGGACATCAACTCCTAGATCATATTCTGTCCCTAGAATCTAGATATAGAACTTAGGAGCCATGACTCCTAGGTACAGCCCAGCCTTCACCTTTCCCTGTGACAGCACCCTGTGATATGCCCTGATTTTCTCTTTCAGATGAAGCACCCCTTTCAATTTCCTGCTGCTTTTCTGTAACCTTCAGAAAACTCCCCTTTGCGATGCTGCAGAGCTACAGCAAAACCAGCACCCAGTGTGACATGGCTGCCGTGATGTAAGCAATTCCTGCCCAGCCAAAGGTTCCAGAGAGGGTGGTGAGGACACACAGGCATATGAATCAAACAAATATAGCCTCTTATCTGAATGGCGTCTTGCTGACACAGGGAAACTTACTGGAGGAGAGGGGATCCATAATTTTCCATGAGTTTGGAGGGATTTTTCCCAGTTCCTTGACTCAGTAGATGAAACAGCTCCAACCTGGACAGCAAGATCAGGGGTTCCTCCTCCTTCTCTCCTCCTCCTCTTCTCCTCCTGCCCAGCAGCTCCTTCACCTATGGAGCAAAAGTGGATGAGGTGTGGGGACCTGAAGAGTGGATAGGGTCTGGGGACCTATGGACCACACCCTGAGCACTACTAAGCATGCCATCTCTCCACAGCTTCAAGACCAAGCGGGGTAGAGAGATCTGTGCAGACCCCACTCAGAAGTGGGTCAGTAAATACATGAAGCTCCTGGACCAGAAGTCTCAAACTCTACAGGCTTAACCCTTCACACCTGGGCTGAGAGGCAATCAGAGCCTGAAGTTCTCCCCTAACTTATCCAGTCATGGAAATGTTACATGAAGATGGTGTCTGGTCTGGGTGTTCCCTTATCCTTGTCTCTTACCTGAGATAATTCTGATTATTTCAGAATTATTCAGAATTCATCCTATCTGAATATCTGAAATAAAAGCTCATATAGGTTTGCAAATGTACCATGGAAATGTTTATTCAAAGCAAAGTGATGGGAAAATAAGATCACTACCAAAGCAGAAGGCCACATGAGTGAAGATTTTCAAGGGTTCCAATTTATTGTCTGGGGTTTCATTTTATGGGGTTCAAGGGAAGGAGCTTGGTTACTAGAGATATAATTTGGATGGTTCTCTATTTTGGTGGACAAGGACATAAATGTTCATAAGGACATAAATCTTTGGTCACTGCTCATGTCCATTCCCAGAATGCATCTGCTTTTATCATATGCATGCCCAGGTGTGCATAAACATATAAATGTAAATAGGGGATTCTCTCTGGAAGTTCACTTGAGGATACATTTTTGCCTTATTGCACATGCACTGCAAACTAGTCTAGGCTCAATCAGCCCCAAACAGTGTTCCAGGTTGTGTTTGACTAGGAACAAGGCTATCAATGGATTATTAAGCAATTTATTTCAGCTTTTTTGTTTGTTTGTTTGTTTGTTTTTCAAGACAGGGTTTCTCTATATTGTTTTGGAGCTTGTCCTGGAACTTGCTCTTTAGACCAGGCTGGCCACAGACTCACAGAGATCCACCTGCCTCTGCCTCCTGAGTGCTGAAACTAAAGTTGTGGGCCACCAACACCTGGCATTTATTTCAGTTTTTGCACATGGGGGTTCTAGGTTACTAAACACTGCAGAGACAGGGTGTGTACATAGCCCAAACCAAGTAGACAGAGTCCAAGTTGCTAAGATATTCTCTATGCCTGCTTGCCTTAACTTCCCCATGAAAGCCATTTCTTCCTAATTCATAGAGAGCTATGTCCTCTGTGTCTGACACATTTGCATGTAACACACAGTGGGAACATTATCAGTGTTAGTATTAGTCATGGTTCTCTAGAATACCAGAGCCAACAGAATAAATATTAAAAAAGGATGCACTAGATTGGATTACACTGGTTGGCAAAGCAGTCCAGCACTGGTCTCTGTGCCTCTGCAATTTCAATCTTATACCAAAGCCTGGAGGGTTTCTGGAGAGCCACTGGTCTTCATTCTACGGTGGAAGCCTAAAGATGCTAGTTCTAATATCAGTAAAGGAACCAACATGAGCAGCAATGGTAGATGAACTTGCCAATGAGAATGAAGGCCAAGTAAGAAAAAGAAAGGTTCCTCCTTCCATATACCTTTATAGTGCAGCTACTGACACAAAGTCCACAGGCCAATCTGACATAGACACCTTCATGGAGACTTTCCTCTTAGGTCATTCTAGGTTGTGTCAAGTCGACAATCAGAACTATCACAACATCTGAAGTTAAAATAGCCAAGAAAAATCATGGCCTAAAGAAGTAAAGTTATCGATGAAGGAAATCAGAGTCTTCATCAACCAAAACTCCTCTGTATGCTAGATTTGTGGCAGGCCCCCAAACCTTGGCACAACTGACACCACGGTAGGGACCCCAGTCAGGCCTTGAAAGCCAGTAAGTAAGTTGCAACTCCTGACAAAACAGGAACAAGACCTAGTCCATCCGCCAAAGAAAGAACAAAGGCTAAGCCAGTGGGTTCCCAGGAAATCTCTAAATAAAAGTCCCTGGGTGTACCAACACTACGTTTTGATTTCTGCAGTTCTGTTTCTTGCTAACTGAAATGCGCCCACCCACGATGTGGGTTTTGTGCACAAAAGATAAAGGCCTGTGAGGCTTAGAGCTGTATGACTTGGGCAAGTTCCCAGTGCAGTCATCAGCCAGTGATAAAGACTTTCTTTTCAGCTTTGAGACTGTCAGTATGGACAGGCAGTGGTAGTATACACCTTTAATCCCAGCACTCAGGAGGCAGAGATGGTCAGATCTCTAAGTCTGGGGGCAACCTGGTGTACAGAATGAGTTCCAGGACAGCCAGGGCTACACAGAGAAACCCAATCTTGGAAAAAAAATAAGAGAAAATGGCTTTTAAAAAATATTTTCAGCTCCATGGTCTCTAGTAGACTACCTCAAAGCAATTTTGTCTCGTCTTGACATAAGCATAAGTCATTTGGGAAGAGGGATCCTCAGCTGAGATTGGCCTGTGGGGCATTTGACTGATGATTGATGTAGGAGGGCTCAGCTTACCATGCATGTGACGCCCCTTGGGCTGGTGATCGTGGGTGCTATAAGAAAACAGGCAGAGCAAACCAAGGAGAGCAAACCCAGAAGCAGGACTCCTCCATGGTCTCTGCATCAGCTCCCACCTCCAGTTTCCTGCTCTGACTTCCCTCAGTGATGAACTGTTACCTGGAAAAGTAAGATAGAACAAACCCTTTCCTCCCCCAAGTTGCTTTAGGCTATGGTGTTTCAGAAACCCCAAAGCAAGGCAGTTGTCATAGTCCTTTTGTACCTACCGGGTTTCCTCAATCCCCAAGGAAGTGACTCCTGACAGAAAAAGCAAAAGGTTTTTATTGCTAAGAACCAAACTGGCTGGGACCTCACTGTATCAGAAGAGTAAGGCGCCCACTTACAATTGCAAAGTGTTTTTAAAGGGAAATGGAGGCTTGAGACCCCTAGTCTAGTCTCAGTTCACAAGGTTTCCAAGGTTACAGAGATTTCATAGAGTACAAAGTTTCTTTACAAAGTCATCATGTTATTTGTTTAGGCAAGATTGATTAGCACACCTGCAAGGTTAGGGGATTTTTCTTTCCTTTTTCTTTATCTCCTGAGAACAGTATGTGGGCTCTGTACTCTGTAGTCAGGGAGTTATCTACTGGCAGAAATTCTTGTTCTCTGGTTTTCCCTTTTTTGCCATAGCCCTAATTTTATACCTTTCAGTTATTAATTTTTCCATCACAATCTTTAATCAGACTGACTCTATGCTCTGCCCTGAGTCACAGAATCTTTTTCAAACAAAAGGACTTGACTCAAGTAAGGTCTGAAGTTTGAGTAGGCAAACAGACATAATAAATGTGTGATGAAATAAGAACACATCATCTTCATCTGGACCTTCACTAAATCCAAGACTGGTGATATGCTTGTCATTAGAAAATATTGAAGACAATTTCAAATGCCTTGGACAGTTTTCAAAGCATCTAAACATAAAAATATTTAATAAATGGAAAAGCTGAGAATTATAAAGTCTGTCATAAGGATTCCTTGAGGTACTTAATTGACACTGTAGTTGAAAATAAAGACATCCCAGCTTTTTTGAAGTCCAGACTGATGTGTCTCCAGCAGAAGTTGGTACAAATTTGAGGTGAGAAATACAGAACTAAATGTCATACAAGTCATAGAACAGATATTTCTGAACTTACCTGACAGAATCTTTTCCAGGTAGAAGGGGTTCTTGATGCAATGTCTTCTCCCCATTTATGAAATCACTTTGCTTTCCCTTTTATTCTTTCAGCTGTCCCTGTTCTGGAAGTTCACTACTGTAACCAGTTCTGAGTTTTAGTTGTCAGAGTTAACAATGCATTGCAACATTTTATGTTTTCCTTTTGCAGATATGCCTCAGACACATTTTCACTTCATGTTTATAAGATGTTTAGTCTTTTTTGAAGTAGATAGAAGATTTTTGTTGAAAATGGTAGATATTAAATTTAGAAGAACTGACAGGAATTTCTTCAAGTGCTAACATATTTAGCTGATGTTGACAGTTGATGCCATTGAACTATTTAGCACCAACTTGGAAGACCGAAAACAGAGACACTATGAAAGCAAGAAACCAGCCAGTTTCCATTATGTTATTAGGAACCATTTTGAGTCTGTAGCCAAGTTAAGTTTCTGTTTGCCATAAAAGTTGAGTTTCTGTTTTTCAGTGCTGGGCTGCACCCTATCCCAATAACTATAAAATGACACACCTGTTCTCAGAAATGCACACATATAGATATAGATAAATGTATAGATAGATACATAGATAGACAGATAGATATCAAAAGCCATTCCAGAGTCTACCACTAAAAGCCCCCTGTAACTGGATAACCAGTTCCTGGAACTGGGTAAATTAGACCCTTCCAGAACAAATCTTCCAGGGCAGTGTTTGTATAGCCAATTCAAGTGCTTTCTACCCTTCCTTTCTGTGATTTTTTGTTCTCTTTCTACCATGTAGTCTTCTGGAATGAAACCCAGGACTCAAGACTTCTCAGCAAGAGCCTTTACCTGCTGAGCCACCTCACTAGCCTGCATATTTGTTGTTGTTGTTGTTGTTATTTTGTTTTTCAAGACAGGGCTTCTCTGCATTGCTTTGGAGCCTGTCCTGGAACTAGCTCTTTAAACCAGGCTGGCCTCAAACTCACAGAAATCTGCCTGCCTTTGCCTCCCGAGTCCTGGGACTAAAGATGTGTGCCACGAACGCTCAGCTACCTGCATATGTTTTTAAATGCCTTGCACCTGGTCAGATTTAGTTGGGACAGAAAACCCAGCAGCGATGGGTAACTGTGTGTAGGGCCACTCTGCAGGGATGCCTTGTGGCTTGACTCCACTGTGATTTGGGGCATCTGTAGTCCCAGCCCTGCAGCTCCACCCCTCACATCTCTCAGCCAGTTTCTTTTTCCATCATACCTATCTTTACAAGAAGTCTCTTCCATGAATTCTTGCAACTGTCTGAAGACCTTTTCTCTCTAAACCAAGTTCTTTTTTCCATGTGATGATTTTTCAAGACCAGATTAACATTTTAGGAGTAATACCAGACTTCTGAGGAAAACTAGATGCCTGTGTTCCGCATCCACTTGTAGCTTTTTCTAAGGCTAACTCTCAGACACATCTGTTCTGGGAGGGGAGTTCGTGTATGGAAACCAAATAGACAGAGCTCTTCTGAGCTTCTAGGAAAGAAAGGAGGTCAGGGGTCCAGGATGTGGCGCCTCTACCAGCTGAACACTAAAAAGATAGCTGAGTTGGGATTGGAAATTACAAAGAAAAGGTTATAGCCTGGCTTTAGGGATCCTTGAACTTAAGACTGGATATGTGCAGGCTCTAAGGCCCCAGTGTGGTGGTTTGAAAGAAAAACGGTACTATTAGGAGGTGTGACTTTGTTGGAGAAACAGAATATACAATCAAGAATAGA